TCTTGCCTAATTACTGTTGCCCCTATACCAGGGGCAACTTTAATAAAAATAATTAAAATAATTACAACTTTACAAAAAGAGAGAAGTTGCCCCGGGTATAGGGGCAACTTCGGCAATTTCTCTCTTCTTGTAAAGTTGTAATTATTTTAATTATTTTTATTTCCAAACTGATTTTAACCAGTTCTATAGTAAGAAAACATTCCAATAGACAACACGCAAAGCTTTTTTTTCAGTTTACAGCAGTATTTATTACACAAAATTTAAGTAAAGCTTAACATGCCGATCTTGCCCCGGTCTCCCCTATATATATATCTTTATTTTTGTATTTTGACTTCTGTCTTTTATTATATATCATTAATAAACGTCTTTAAATTTAATTAATGATTCGAGAGAATTACTTCCGAGTTGTTTCTAGTCAAATTCCTCATCTAACCTCTTACCCCAAGTCTCCATATCTGACACTTACAGTGAAAGAGATTGTGATCTAATCTCAACTGGTGTCAGGGATAGGATGGTTGCATTTTCCCTGTAGGGTGTAACAGTTAATTGGTAATAATATTCTATTTGATTGACAACTTTCTTCTTTGCTTGAAGAAAGAGAAGTGAATGATATACATTATATTCTTTAGCGGTGAAATATTGTTCTTTTGAGCTGATAAATTAATTGAATAAATTTTGCATTAATTCCTTCTTTGTTGTCATTGTATATATTCAGTAGTTTTATGATTTTATTCTACATTAAAGTTCTTTGTAAGGTTCTTGTGCTGCCAATTGCATAATACCTGAGTAAATAAAGACTTTATAAAATTAAGTAGGTAGATGTATAGTTCTCAGACAAAAGATTCCATGATGACCATGATAAAGAAGTTAAGAATATATGGTCTGTTCCCAAAATAAGTATAATGACTTTTTATTTAATGACTGTTCAGCTTAACACATCGTTAATTAGTATTTTCACGTTGCTAGATATCTTAGCAGCATGTCTAGACCTGTTTCAAGTTGATCGGTTAAGTCAAACTTTTTAACACATCATTATGTTTGAAATGGAGAAAAATCTCGAACAACATTACGCTACCAAGTTTTGTGTGAAATTCAAGAAATATGCAACTGAGACATTTGCAGATTTAACCGAAGCTTATGGAGATGCCACTTTATCGAGAAACATGGTGTTTAGATGGCACAAGGAGCCAGGGTAAAGATGATGCTTATCATTTTTTCAATAGCCGTGGAATTGTGCACAAAGAATTTTTTCCTTCAGGACAGACACTTAATCAGGCCTTCTACAAAGATGTCTTGGAACGACTTCGAAAACGGGTCAAGCAAGTTCGCAGGGACATTTCAGAAGATTAGATGCTGAACCATGATAATGCGCCTGTTCACACAGCTCTATTAATTCGAGTTATTGCCCAAGAATAAATCCCCACACTCCTATAACCTCCCTACAGCTCGGACCTAGCTCCGTGCGACTTCTACCTATTCCCTAAGATAAAATCCAAGTTGAAAGGTCGTCATTTCGGGACAGTGGAAAACATCAAAAAAGTTGCAACCAACGAACTAAAACCTTACGGAAAACAACTTCAACTATTGGAAAAAAGTTTCGAACCAATGTGTGACCTCGCAAGGGTCATACTTTGAAGGAGATCGTTTATAGTTTGATGTAACTCTCGTATATTTTGAAATAAAAATTCAGTACACTTACTTTTGGGACGACAGACCTCGTATATCATTGGAAAATCCTTGTAGGTACCATTTGAGTGTTTATAAATAATTACTTGAAATACTATTGTGAAGACAGTAGTATTTTAAGTAACCAAATAAAGCATCAAAATGCTTAATATTATTATTTTAAAAAATACTTATATTTTTATTTGCCCAATTCGTGTTAGAAATTGCAATATTTTAAACGAATGAATGCTTTGGGTAAAATAAAAATTAGAAGAGAAAAAATAGATTTAAATTGTTTTATATTTGCCAAAATATGTCAAACATGGATAACATTTTCATATTTAAATTCGAACTTTAGATAATTGGACCGGGCAATTTAAGCAAAACTTGGGCGATCTGCCAAGGGAATAAATAAAGCCTAGAAAATTTCATTTCGCATGCACGTTGGTTTTATTTACTTCAACATTGACAGGTGTTTTTATTTGTAGGGATTTTCTCTACCTGTTATCTCCTTTGTTTGTTCTAGAAAGACCTTAGACCATACATTGGTTTACGGTTTTCCAGGAAAATGAAAATATTCTCACTAAATAAAATAAATATCACTAGTTATTTTTTGATATTTTTAAAATTTGATGCGAAATTAAAAATATTTATTAACTTTATTGAATAATTAGCTGTTACCCGCGACTTCACCCGCAGGTATTTTGCAAGCAAACCCCATTTATATTCAGTATTTAAACAACCATAGTAATTGTTATATAACACCTACCACTGACAATAATGAGAATTGCTGAGAATTAAACAAACTATTTTCAATTTAATCAATTTTCTGGAACGTTTACAATCATTCTATAATCGAACCAATATGCAAAAAGAAATTCGAATTTAGATTCAGCGGTTTGATCTGGGCAATGATGATTCAGTGAGTCAGTCAAGTGACAAGTAATTTTATATATTTAGATAAATTATATCCTGTATATTTCTTGCAAAACTACGAATCAATATTTTATAATTTTTACTAGAAACGAAACTGATTGGTCCATCCTCTTGTTTACATTTAAATTGCAAAATATTTATTTTATGTTCTTTTATACAGGACAAATTTCCTTATTAATTATTTAGTTTGTATATAACTGTATTAAGGTCTATCGATTTAATAAATTCGTTTAAATCTTTGAAATTTGAATACAGAAAACTGTTTAACATACAAAATATTCTAGTAAAGGTATGTTAATTTTTTGTATATCTATTATTAATTTTATAATATACTAGCTGCAAGGACCCGTTTCGCTGGGTTTTTATTTGTTCGTGCATTTGTATGTAATATAGTTTTTTATATATATAAAAGACTGTTTTTCTAAGTAATCTAGAATCTAGCTGCATGACCCGCTTTGCTGGGTTTTTATTTGTGGGCAAAAAGTAACGATTGTGAAGATTAAGATCATTACATTATAGCCACTCTTACCCGTTTTCACAGAATGCAAGAATTAGTTCCCCCGTTTCCAGACTAATTACAGAATTTTTACGTCCAGTCAAACGAACTATTTTCAATTTGATCAATTTTCTGTAACGTTTACAATCGTTCTATAATCGAACCAATTCGAATAGAAATTCGAATATTGTTCGAATTAAATTCGAACAAATTCGAACATAACATTCGAAATAGAAAACCACTTTCAACCACTTTCAGCCCCATATCTCCCGCACCCTTATAGCTATCGAGACGCAACCATCATAGTGCACGAATGGAGTCTTGGGGCTACCACCACATACAAACACCATTCACGTGCGATGTGTAGTTTTGGCGGAAAAGTGAAATATAGGGACACACAC